AAAAAAGATTGCGATTAAAAGGAATTATGATACAAACAGACAAGTGATAGACAAAACATAAGCTCTGTTATTTATATATTTGATATTTGTCCAACATTGTATCAATACATCCGTGTAAGCGAGAGAATTAGTCTGAAAAGGATGGTAGATTCACATCCTGATTTCAATAATGTGTGCGATGGCCTTTTGACATTCTGACAAATGTCACACATCTTTACGGAGAAAGTGAAGTCGTTTTACAAAGGGGGAGTTTTGCGATCATGTACGCATTTGATGCGACACTCGATGCGATTAACACGTTGTAAGTGTTGTATTTATACGCAATTTGAGAAATTTTTTTCGCACAACTATTATAAATGAGAAATAATATAAAATGAATTAGTTATAAGAGATATAACACGTGACATAAACAAAGTTCTATTATGTGTGTGCAAAAAAAAGAAGTAAACACACAAATTTTTACAACTTTCGCGCGACTTAATTTCTAAAAACCGAAAATAAAAAAAAGACAAGGAAAGAATCTTACACGATCATCTCGTTACCGTGTAAAAGGCAGCCGATTTTTTATCGCTTCAAGCACATCCCCACAGGGGAATGCAGCGCGAGGAGAAAAAAAGAATTATCAATCAAAGACCTAGTCTTTCTTACTTCGTAAAAAATGTCTTAATGTAATCCGCGTTCGCGTGTGGCCCCGAGAATGAACGATGAAACTGGTGGCCATTGGAGGCGATCAAGCGAGACGGAGAAAAGAAACGAGAACGCGGACAGAATGAGAAGCAGACAGAGACAGGCGAAAAATTTTTTGAACAAAAATCCTCATTGATGGATAGTTTATCGCGTCCCTGTTCCACCAACTGATTCCTTCTCCCCTAAATTCTTCCCCTCTCGTTCCCTCTCTCGTCTATAGACGCGCACGCACGCACACACACATACACACACACACACACGCGTGAATCTCTCCTCTTCTACCGCACGACGGTGTCCCCTTCCAAGCTCTGCCGGACAACAGAGCCTACCTAAATATCGGGGGATCATGCTAAACGGCGGCAGATCAAAGGGACCGACAGAATCCGGTGGCGAGCTATCATAATAATTAGGCTCGCTCGCGCCTCTTTGTATCGGGATAGAAAAGCCGACGTGGAGAGAAGGTCGGGAAGAGAAGAAGCGAAGACGCGCAGAAGAAGAGGAAGAAAAAGGGCCACGAACGGACGGACGATTCGGTTGGCCGGGAAGAACGGTCGGCATCGCTCCAGCCCGCTAAATTGAACCTAAAGGGGGACTCTAAAAAGATTTTACTGATTTCGGTGAATGAAAGACGCGAGCTTCAGTCGCGCGCTTCTCGCAATCAACCGACTCTCGCTGCCGCGCGTTTTACATCGCCGCTAGATTGATTCAATAAATGTTTATCCACGCGATTCTCTCTCTCTCTCTCTCTCTCTTTAATTGCCAAAGCGAAATTTTATCGCGCGTGTGTGTGACGTCCGTATACATTGCACGTTAAATACAGGGTAGTCGTGAAACAAATGGGCAGTTTGAACGCTCTTTGATCTCGCTCGGAGTCTAGTCTTCTTTAGCGGCGAAGTGTCAGGGATATGTGTCGGTTGTTTTCGCGCCATGAGTGATTGACAACCCGCCTGTCCGCGAGGAGTAAAATCTTATTCTTCGCGCACCTTCCAGGTGCTCCCACTGTAAAAAAAACTTTTCAAGTTGAATCGTCAAATATCTAGTATCAAAGCGTCTGTGAAAGGTGTCCAATCAAATATAGCCGATGAAGTAAATCATCTCATGAAAAGAACACTATCATCAACTATCTGTCTCAAAAGCGCGGAGAGCGAGAGAAATAGAAGGAGAGAGAGAGAGAGAGAAGAAGAAAGAAAGCGAATTACACGTTTGCTTATTTTACATTGTAATTTGATGTATTATGCAATTTTTTGCATATTACACGAAAAGCAACTCGTCTCGCAGAGATTGGAATTCATTTTTCGTCGCTCCGCCGCGACGAAATGTTAATTTGCGAATTTCAAAAACGGCGTTACGAGATAGTCGCATCGATTCCTTTATACACAATATATGCATCGGGACAATTGTTCCTCATATATACATCGCGTTTACGCGGCATGTATTTTTCAGTTATGCTACTTACGCGAAATAACAACTATTAATCCACGGCAATCTAGATAGGCAGGATGTCGGTAGGATTAGATTACACGTTGCATGCAATCGCGCACAATTTAGTATCGTCGTGTACGCTAAGCGCGGTAAATTGGTTAGCGCGATTTATTACAATTATCGGTGTTCGCATTACAGGCTCGTGAAATCCGCTTCTGTGAAATTTCGAAGGCACGAAAGCGACGAGTCGCGCGGTGAAAGCAAATTGTTTGTCGCTCGCTGTTATATAAAATCACATTTGCATCACAAATCGGCGAGTAATATCGATTCAACGTTATAAAGAAAATAACAAAAGTATATATATATATATATATGCGGTGTAATATGTAAACTACGTGCATAAAAAACACGTGACTCGAATTTTCACGTTACAACTTTTGTTACATTTTTGTTGTTGCGTACTAACGACAAACAATCTTTCTTTAATTTCTTACACATATCCGCTGGTGATATACATATAGGTAATAAGTAAAGTTTTATTTATAACGTTTTCTATATATATAAATTAAATAGAAAATTAATTTCGTAGTGCGATGTTTCATTGTTATGACAACTGAAAAGAAATCATAATCGATTGTGCGAGTATTACCGCACAAAAAACAGTCCGTCGGATACGTCCGGTGTGCAGTGCCATTGGCTTAAAAGCCACGTGAAAAAAGAAGAAAAATGATACATATCACAGGATTCAACAGTCTCTTTTCGAGCCTATTTCTTTTAAATTGATTCTTAAATACATATATGTGCTATTTTTTTTTAGTTATTAATTTATACATTAATTCAAAAATAAGTATCGTCACGACAATAAATAACAGTCTGATTTGATGAGAATTTTGGCCACAAACAGCGTATATATGTGATTCCAATTAAAACTTTAAATTATGCTTTCTTAAAATCGTCCGGTTAATTTAAGAAAATAATTGTAGAAGATAAATCAGTGTTTTAGATCGGAATAGAGCTAAAAGAAATGTTTGTTTGTGTGTGTGTGTGTGTGACGAGAGAATCTTGATTTTATATATGCAAGACTAAACTCTATGTAAATGTATTTACATAATTCGAAATCAAGTAAAGACGACAATTAAAATAAAAAAAAAAAAAAAAAAACGTGAAATTTATACTTGCTCCTTTCGCGTGTGAAAGTTCTTTAAATCAAGCAATTTAAAGATGTCGGAAGAGTAAAATCGAGCGATGTCAAGACACTGACTGCTAGTTGTCGACAAGATTGCCGCAATTACATGGCTAAATCGACTCTCAAATCGGACTGTAGATAATGATCTGTATGTAATAGTATCGCGATACTCTCTTCTAATGTTGCCGTTATACTGGGAGGGGGCTGCCAATATCCCCGCGACATTATATCGGAAGCGATTGTCATCCTCTTTCATGTTTCTTTGACATTCGAACTGTTCTCTTGAGCGATCGTTGATACGCTCAAGATTTTGCTCGTTTCGAATTGACTTGATTCCAATAAATTGGCGATCCTTTTGAAGAGAGTAAATGTCTTTATTACAAAGTAATTTTATCTTCTTTTATGATTTAATAGAATATAAAGTAACAGTATTCTCTTCATTGAGTTGTCAGACGCACAACAGTATATAAGAAATATAAAATATATATATGTGTACGTACATAAATATATACATGAACGTATATCAGTCAAATAATATGAAGAAGTTGCAACTTTGACACAGAAAGGCTACGGCACGCAGGTCAACACACAGGAAGTTCCTTACAATACAAATAGACATTAAAATTGTTTAATTTATGAACACATAAAGATGTAAATTAATCGGATACGTATTTTATTATAGTTTAAAATAATAATTATGAGCTAGAGAGAAAGAAGATTTTCGTGTTCTGCAAATGGCAAATATAATTTACCCGTTGATACTGCTGTTATATCAATATTTCCGCACGATCACGAAATATATAAAACAAATCGTGATAATAAAAGTGATAATTTGTTTACAGTTTATTTTATATGTTTATTTTTTTATATTTAGAGACTTTATTATGTTTAAAGAACTGCGACAACAGACACTGTACGAAGCAAAAATACCGTGAGAATAATCGTAAAGGAAGTAAGTGACAAACGCTAATTATAGAGACATTGTGTGTAATATTGTACTCTGCAGAAGACACGTTCTCAGTTTTTTTTGTGGAGGATATAACGCTATCGGACGTCTGTTTAGCTAGCCGCGCCGCAAAGTCGTTCATTCCGGTATCAGAGGGGTATATACGCGGCCGTTAACTTTCCGTCCGATAATCCGTTCCCAAGCTCCGCTCGCGGCGGAGGCCGAAATCCACGCTCCGGGTGGGACGAAATCACGGTGGGCCCTCGTTAGTCGCCTTCTGCGTCGTGGAGGGTCAGTCCCACGTCATTGGAGAGTGAGAGGGCACGATTTGCGGCAGTACGCGAGAGAGGAGCTACTCTTTGGGGAGAATAGAGAGAAAGAAAGAGAGAGAGAGAGAGAAGGAGAGGAGGAGAGAGTAGGGCGAAAGGAAGAAAGGACGATGGTCGCGACGCTGTGGGACGTTAAGTACGTCTCGTAAAAATTCCATCCTGTAGCAGCGGCGGCGGCGGCGGCGACGGCAACGGCGTCATTTTGCTAGGTTAGGTATCATAGGCGGGTCCTGATCTGGCCCAGCCTCCGGATCCGCCAAAGGGGCGCGGCTTTGCGACGGAGGTGGTACCCAGTGCCGGTGGCAGCGACCCAGCAGTATACTCGAGCGGTTCCACCACTCGTTCACGCGTGCGCCAAGGCGGCCGTGAGGAAAGCGCCTGCCCAACACCAGCGCCGGGGTATCCCCGTACCATTTCGCGTCACCGGCTTCGACTGGGCTGAGAGGAGGCACCCGGTTGCCTTCTTAGCTCCGAACTCGTTAAACGCCGACGTATTGACGTTTCGCGTGCGTATCTCGCTCGCACAGCAGCATATCTCAGCGAACGCTCGGCGTGCGGACGCGTCGCTGTGTTCTTTCTTGGTGTTAAGTGAGAATAGCGAAAGGCCGATCGATCGAGAAAGAGGACTGACGAGAGGTCCGAGGCGTTCGAGCGCATCTGTGCAGTTCAGAAACAGGTTGTCGCGAACACTCGAGAACGAGCTCGCTCACGGAAATTCGCTCGCAATGAAGTTTCCGTGCGATATCTTGGTGTTTAAAACGAACAGTGACAGTGCATTGGAGTGAAAGAGAGAAATTACATTTACACATCGCGATTGTTCGCCAGCTGACGTTTGACGGAAGTTTTAAAAAAACTCGAGAAAAAATGTTTCACCAATAGAAACAAGAGACGCACGCAAGAGCCAATGATGTGACAGATGTGTTAATCTAAGCGCGATGACGGAGAATCCGAGCGCGTCAAAAAAACGGATCATCGATAGCAACAGTGTGACAAGTTTGGTGATCGTGTTCGAAATAAAAGGCTCGGACATGTTAGGTCAGTGATCGAGACTCGATACGACTGTGTGGCGAGCTGGCAAAACAATTTTGAAACGTAGAAGTGAGATTTTTCCTCAAAAGAATGCACAGTATTTAAAGAGTTGATTCAGTCGCGACCTCGACTGGCTGCCAAGAGTCACCAGACGAGTGTCCTGAGTAATTTTGCATTTTAGATTATCTCTTTTTCCTTCCCGTCCACGATATGTGCACCACGGAGATGACAGAGTCATACTCGATGTCGCCGTCGACGACAGTATCTTCCAGCGCCGCGACGCCCGGTTGCATGAGCAGCTCGCCGGCGCACCGACGGACGTCGTGCAGAAGCTCGCCGGGTCGGGGAGACGTTCAGGATGACGAGGACGAAATCTCCGTGGGTTGTCCCAGTCCGTTACCTCTGGTGGTTGTTACGCCCAACACGGAGGACGAGTCCAGGGAGGATTACACCGATCGTCTGAGTCCTAGGAGAACTTATCAACGGGACTCGATGACGGAGGATGAGGAAAGAGACTATTCCCGCAACGGAGACTACAGAATGAATGGTAGAGTCAGCAAGAGGACTCGCGATAGCGGTGATTCGGTTACGACGTTCAGAGACGACGAAGACGACGATGAGGAAGAGGAGGAGGTAAACAGCAGGACCAGTAGCAACGGAGCAACAAACGCTGCCACCACTGACGATTATTTCAAACCGCTCAAGCGTCTGAAAATGGTGCAGATGCAGCACTCGGATGAAGAGGACGAAAGGGAGCGAGAGTCAAACGAACGCGGAGTCACGTCCTTCAGCATTCTCGATATCCTGTCACACCGGCCGAAGGCGAAGATAGTCCGTCCGTGGGACACAGTGGACTCCAGTCTAAGCCACCAGCACCGTCATCACCTGCAGCAGCAGCAACAGCATCATCAACATCATCAGCATCCTTTGCACCATCTTCATCACCATAGTAGTCACCCGGCTCACGCAACCGGGCCGCGGGATCTCTCGCTGATGGGTATGTCACTCGCGTCCATGTCCGGCTCAATCAGCGAACCGCCCCTCAGTAGCTCCTCGTCGTCCGGAAGGAGTTCCGTGTCAGATTCCGGTAGCCCGGATCCGCTTACCCATCATCATCATCATCATCATCATCACACGGCGCTCCATCATCACGCGGGCATTCATTCCGGCTTGCATCATCCGGCGCTGCAGCAGTCGCAACAACAGCAGCAGCAGTTCAAGAGAAAAACGCCGCAGCAGCACGGTTCACACACGGGCCAGAACGGCAAGAGGACCACCGGACAGGGCAGTCCCTTGGACGCTTTATTCCAGATGACCAGCAAGACGTTCGACGCGGGCGAGCATAGTCAGGGTAAGCTCAATCTTAATATTAGAGATTCTCATTTATGTTCTTGTGAAAATCTATATACTCTCTTCGATTTGTTTCTCTCGTCTGTTTCGTGCGTTTTGAAAATGCATCTGATGTTACGCCGATAAATATTGGAGTGACAATATTGAAAAGTTTGCTGTGTTCACATTTTACATCAGATATATTATTACTACATAGTAACTATATATAATAATGATTTCTGTAACGCATTATGCAAAACGATACGAACCTACAATAGACGACAATGATGTTACCTACTCTATCTACCTAATTAGTATAAAACAGTTTTATACGAAATGCAATTAACGTATTTATCTTCCATATACTGTGATGTTTTTATCGCGATCGATTATGAATTCAACAGCGATTGGTATAAAAGTCAATTTTTTAAAAATAATTAACATCAGCGTAAAATAATATATATAATTAATATTAATCTTAATAATATTTAACCGCGTAAGAAAGAGAGAGAGAGAGAGGGAGAGAGAAAGATGCAAATTTAAAGTGTGGTTTTGTAATGTGCTTTAAATATTAGACTGTGAGACTTGAGATTGCTCAGGATTTCTCATCGTTTGCATTCTAACGAACAGGATGGAAGAAGAACGCGCGCGAGGAACGTGCGTTCGCTTCTAATTGGCGAGCTTAAATATCGACGATGAATACAGGCTTTAATTTTGATTGATGTTCCCCGCGAGCGCGTTAGGAAGCGCTTGCCGCGGCGCGCAATCCTTTCCTTCGAAAAGCCGCGCGCTTTTATTTTACTCTTTTCGAGACGCGCGCGGAACGTTTCAAATTTCGTGGCGCGTTAGGTGTGGCAGGTGCCAAAACCTACGAGTCAGCAAATACTAATCTGAGTTCACGCGGATGTTTTGGATTCTGCGATCTTTTTTCGGTCGGTGTGTGTTACCTCTTACGGAAATAAACGCGGCGGACTAATCGCGATGTAATATCAATCTTTCAACATGGTGTGTGAGTCAAATAATCAATAAATATTAATACAACTTTACGCGCAAAATGGGCAGTAAAACGGTGATGAATATATGTGACTGCGTCGTCGAAAAAAAAATTTATAAAAACGCGACTTCTGGTATTAAAAGCAATTTAACATGATTATGCGCGTAAATTATTTGTCATAAGTTGCTTTTGGTATTATATGGTTTTTTTTTTGTTTTGTTATATATCGCCTTATTTTGCGTGTGTGTATATTTGCATACAGGGTGTCCCAGAAACTGGTTAAACAAACCGGAATCAATGTTTCAATTTTTTTTTTAAATCGACTTTCTCTCGCGCGAAATAATTTTGTTTATTTTCTTGCTTGCTTTTTGCATAAAGAATATCACTCCTTTCCGATTGTATCGCCACTTCTGTCGTATTCTGTTATATAATAACATTGTATCGCGCGCTAAGTTGCTCTGACGTTACAATTAACACTTGACATTATTTTAATCACACGTGATCCGACATTAATTGTAAAATGAAATTAGTCTTTCTGTCGTCGCTTTAAATTGACATCAAATTATCGGTTTCAATCACTTTTCTCAAGTCCTTGAATTTTGAACGCGACTTTCGCGGCGTAATGTAAATTATATTACTTGACCGTACAAATTGCTTGTTTATCTAACAGAAAGACATGTAATTAATTATCGTTAATGCATAATGCATGTTGATTTAGCGTGCCGATTGCAATGTTACATTCGCGGGTCAGGAGGCGTGCGTAATACTATTCGTTAACCGTAAGTGATAAATTCCTCATTTGTCCGTTATCCGTGAAATGGTTCCAATGATAGTGACAGGCGTCATGCGCACGTATAAGATATGGAAAGGAATATTTTTCTTTCACCGTTTCTCTCCTTCGAGTTTTCGCATGACAGAAATGTCGAGCAATAAGTGTCAGTCGAGATCACGGCTAAAGACCTGGATCCACGTGTGTGTGTGTATGTGTGTATTATGACGATCTTTAACTTTCTATTGATTCCTCGCTCCCGGGATCACGCGTCCCGCGATATCCCGAAGCGACACATGAAAGATTGCCACGGCGAACAGCCAGCCAGTTTGTTCCAATCTGCTCTTTGAGGACTTTGTGACGCATGACACGCTTTTGTGTGCGTCGATGATAATCATCGACAATCGGAGAGAGATAATCGGAAATATATCTTATTATTATTAACCGCGTTTCTGTGTTTCAGACAGACTCCGCCGAGTAAAAAAAAAACATATAATGTATCGTTGACATTTTGTTATATTAAAAAAGATTTGCGTTTATTACATTTCGCACACACAGACACACACGCGCACATTATTTGCGGCAATAATAATATGTTAAATTTTAGAATGTTGGACGAAACTTTTTAACATTGCCCAGCTATGTTTCATCAAGAGAGAATCTATTAGTGAATCTTATTAGTAATAAAGAAATAAAAATATTATCTCATCTCATTTATTTCTCGACGCGGAGATATTATATTTTTGTCTTTCTTTTTTTTTTTTACATAAAAAAGCAATGAAATTATTATACGATTCAAGGCGACGCGAAACCGGACATAACAAACGAGTGGCGTGCATTGTGTTAATCGCTTTTCAGAAACATGTTTCTACGAACGGTCCTAATATTAGCGGCGGCCTCGCTACGAGCACTACGCGCTCTAGATGCTCGGTAATTAAATGACGAGACTTTTTTTCTTATTTTCGCCCCGCGCGTTCGATCCCAAATGTTTCGAAATATTTATTATCAGATTCGCGTTTTCTCGACGTTAATATTGAGAAATATTAGCTTCAAAGAAAGGTGTCACAAGTTTGTACCTCGACGATTGATGCGACGTACAGTAGACACAATTACGCGACCGGCTTAATAGATAAATTTATTGGCCAGTCAAGAGCGTTGTGCATTTATCATTACGCAGATAGCGATCGACATTTATTCGATTTTGTATCGAATATTTTATCGAAAAAATACCATCATCTCACGATATTAAGTGACGAAGTCGCATTATTTGATAGGTACGAAGTGTGATGTTGTTTAATTTGATGGTTGATTGGGTAAAGTACGGTGGTTTTTAATTTATATTATGTTTTCTCTCTCTTTCTCTCTCTTTTTTTCTCTCTCGCTTGATTTTATGTTTAGTAAAACCAATAAACAATAAATTACTACATTGACTAAAACTTCACTGATATTGAAATTTATTGAAATTGCTCTAAGCTAAGCAATGTGCGTATAGAGTTTTGAAACTTTCACGATTATAAAACCTGTTACGTCCCCTCTTAGAAAAACTCACACATCCTTAACGTATATGTGAGTTTTTAATGTGCGCGTCAGTTTTTCTCTTAACCTTCCGACAAAAAGGAAAGACATTTTGTCGGCAGGTTTGCGGAAGAGTGTTATAAAACAATTTATGGAAACTATAGTAAACATCGAAAAGGATTACAAGGATAGTTCTCTTTGAAAGGATTTTTTTGCCGCCTTTGGACCTGACCGATATTATAACAGAGACGTGTATCGTCTTGCTTTGCGCCTGTCCACTCACACAGACCGTTTTAATTTTACGATGATTATTGCAAAATTTATCTCTGTGATATTAATGCCGTAAGTTATGGCAACTTTTGAATGTGTGCGCGCGAGGGTTTTTATATTTCAAAAAAACCCTATTTTTTTACGGGAAACGAAGTTTTACGCAAATCTTTTTACAGAAAACTGCCGACGCGCCGTCTCGTCGCGTTTATTTTCATTTTACGAGCATAAAAATATAAAAACAGACTTCTATTCTGTAAAGATCTTTGTGTTCGAATTTTCCTTTTCAACGTTCAGGTAAATGGATTAAAAGAAACACACGTTTTTCAGAAACCCATAGAAAAGTTGATTGATGTTTGTACACGTTTGCGCGGAGATACTTCTAATTATCACCAACAAATCCAATCTCTCTTTCTTGAGAGAGAGAGAGAGAGAGAGAGAGAAAGAAAGAAAGAGAGGGAAGGGAGAATAAAAGAAAAAGAAAGAAAAGGTTCGCATTGACCGTTCACCTCGCACTTCAATAAACGTGTTTGCAACGCAGTCGCATGTTGCCAAGTCGGAAGCCGAAGGGAAAAAAATACGATAAACATTTTTTGTTGTTGCTTCAAAAAACCGCATATACAATTAGACATTTATTTCAAATGTCTTTTGTTATAATTTTTGGTTTTACTTAAAATTCACGTTATCTTGCAAAAGCGCTCGTTGTTCTTGACAGTGTCTCTTTGTTTTTTGTCACAGAAATATTTTACATTATTTTTACCGAAATCGTCAGATAATAAATCGTGGTAGAAAAAATTTATCCGACCGCGTGCCGCGGCGTTTCTTTGTTTTTTTTTTTTTTTAGTCTATCGTAATTCCGAGAGAACAAGGACGTGCGCACACGACAATCGGTCGGTTCTCTCTCTCTCTCTCTGGAAACAGGCGCAACAGACGAAAGGACAGTTTGCCATCGGCCCGCGTTTCCGTCTGAAAACCACCACATCTCGGAAGACGAGCGAGAGAGACACGCCAGATCGACGATACAAGCAATGCACACGCCCCCGACACACGTTACATGCGGAAACCGTACCGCACGCATGGGGCAAGGGATACGTAATTTTAGGCCCACCTATATATGAGTAACTTATTACGTGTGCTCGGCGAGAGCACATGTCTCATTTGCATGTAGCGTGATATAGAAAACGAAACGGATCCGATTTCCGACGGCGCGAGCAATATGCGAAAAATTTCAACAAAATCGAGCCCCTACCTGTGCCGCCGAGTCGCTTCTTCTTTTCTGCTTTCTTCCCCCGTGACCTTGTTCCTTTTTATCTCTGTCGCGTTCTTCGAAAAGAAAAGAGAGAGGAAGACACTCCTCTCGGGCGATCGACAGTTTTGCACGAAGCACCTTGCGAAGGGGAATACGTTCCGATATTTATCTTATTTCTGAAAATTTGAATTGTCATAGAGGTTTGCGGAACAGCTACATTGGTTTTGC